GCATGCACTAAAACATTGGTAGATGAAGTAATCCTTCGCTCTGGTGTACCACGCAGAGTAATAAGCGATAATGGGGCTCAATTTGTAAGTGCAGTAATGCAACAAACGGCACACTGTCTAGGATTTGAACAGTCATTGATACCCGTCTATCATCCAGAATCCAACCCGGTTGAGAGAAAGAATAGAGACTCAAAGACTCAGTTAGCTATACTTGTTCAAGAAGAACATACCAACTGGAAAACAATGTTGCCAATGATTAGATTTTCAATGAACACGTCCCGATGTCAAAGAACTGGATACACACCTGCATTTCTCACTTTTGGTAGAGAGCTACGGACACCAAATGATGTACACAGAGATTTAAGAGGAGTCATAGAGAATGAAAACTTTATACCACAGATTACTCCATATCTTCGATCCCTATCACAAGTACTGAAAGATGCCCGAGATACTCAAGAAAATCAACAAGATAAGATGAAACACTATGTTGATAAAGGAAGAAAAGACGAAACCTTTGAGGTTGGAGACAAAGTCTTAATAAATGTACATGCTCTAAGTCAAGCTAAAACCTCGTATAGTTCCAAGTTTGCACCCAGGCGTGGCGGACCATATATTATACTCAGACAATGTAGTCCAACTGCTTCTGCAATCAGAAGATATTGCTCAGATGAACCGAATGACCCAGCTTCGTTAAGACCCTTAAGAGGACGAGGACGACCTAGAGAACGTACTGAAGAAAATATAAATGAACCAATGCTTCCTGACTCAGAAAATCAAGATGAGTCAGACCTTAACATTACCCAAGATGACGACATACCTGAAAAAGAGCCCGAACCAGAGAAATCAGATGACGACGTTCCAGATGATGCTACCCAAGAAAAGCTTACAGTTAATGGAAGAAGCGTCCGCAAAAAGAAGGTTACTAAATGCCCATGCTGCGCAATTACAACCAACAACTTTTTGCATCACTCCCGAGGACGTTTGAGTGATGCAAAGGGGGAGTCTGTAACGAAATTGAATAACCACCGAGTCCAGACCTGCCCGACTCTGTCAGGTGCTGCCCCCTAACGCCGGAGAGAGTACCAGCTCGGAGAGGGAGACATTGCCGGGTGAACGAGAAAAATTCGATTACTTTTATTCTGGATGTTCACAGTCCTAAAATATAATAATTAAGTTAGTTTTTGCTTATTTTTTCACTGCAACTATCTATTCTCAAGTGTAAAGTTGACAATAGAGTGATGTAAAATTATCGGTGGTGTTTCCTTTAGTCGGATAAATACAAATTCTTCAGTTTAACCTCAAACCCCTTATAATTTTATTTAACCCCATAAAAAAGAACAATCACTTCATGAAAGGCCATACCAAAGAATTGACCTACGGGCCAAAGAAAGGTTAAAGCGTCACTGACCATATAGCATGTTTTGTGACCATTTTTGTTTCTTTGATTTAACCAAATACTACTTGGCAATATTTTTTGTCTTCATATTCTGACAGGTTAGGTAGTAGTTTGAAATTATCTGAATGATTTTATTAAACCCTATAAAAAAAACAATCATGCACTCATGAAAGGCCATACCAAATATTTGACCTACGGGCCAGAGAAAGGTTAAAGCGTCACTGTCTATGAGACATATCGGTCTATATTTAGTTATTGTATGGCCCTCGACTGTCAGTTTTTCGATTAACACTAGCTTAGCCGCCTTCTAGATTGAAGGAAACTCCCCTTGGACCAAACAGTCATTGAAGATCTTAAGAAAGGTGTTTTGGTTCTTCTTGGCACATGGCTATTTTCGGCACAATACCGTCAGGCCCGGGTGTTTTTCTTATTTTGACTTTTTCTATAGCGTCCATTAGTTCCTGTGGTTGGAACAAGGGTATTGCGTTTTCGTTTATTGCCAAGATTTCCCATACCACCTTTTCGTTGTTTGGAAATAATTTACCGATCTGCTCTGTCACTGTGCTATCATCTGGGTTTCTTCTGTTCCTAAGGTTCAGAATCTTTGTGACTATTTGATAGGCTAGTCCTCACACGTCCTCATCCAGTTCGCTGCACAACTGTTTCCAATTTTTCGTTTTACTCTTCATTATCAGCTTTTTTAATTCCTGTTTCTCTATCTTGTATTGCGACTCTAGCTCCTCTCTCCTTGCATCTGACAGCCTGGTGTTTGCTCGAGCTCTGGTGAGCTTTCTTCTTGCCTTAATGCAAGCAGATCTTTTTTCTGCGATTCCTGGGTTCCACCAGTAGACTGATTTATGGTTTCCAGCGCCCACTGTTCTTTTACGAAAGTATCTGTTGCATCTTTCAAAAATACAGTTCATATAAGTTTCTCAGGTGTAATGTTCTGGATATTTGACATCTCTTCGCACTTCATTGCAAAGGTGGCTAAACTATCAGGGGTTATGTGCCATTCTGTATGTTTCTGTTTTGAATGATTAATCTTGGTTTGTGGTGAGGACAGTGACGGATACATTGGGAGGGCAGTTGAATAAAATAATAAAATTAAAAAAACAAAAACAATACCATATTTTAAGTTTTAAAAATGTTTAGAAAACTGGAAACCTATAAATAAATATTCATAAAAAATCAATAAGATTATGTACAGGATGTTTTTTTATACCGGGTGACAATGGAACTACTACCCACGGTGGCATTTCTTAACGGCTCGAGATAGAAATGTGCAACTTGGTTTGTTGATAAAGTTGAAAATTGTGAACAATTTTAATATAAAAACAATTGAATGTCTTTTCCGGTTTTACCGGAAATGGCCTTAGCTTAATTATTTTAAATGAAACACCCTGTATATTATCTTTTTTTTGGACTCTTTGAAAAATTCTAAATAACTTTTGTCTAACATACCCCATGTCAAAAATTGATAGTTTTTGAAATAGAGCCGCTCAAAAATAAAAATTACGCCAAATCCTGAAGATAGTCGCTAATAAGTTCGAAACGGTATATCACAGACACATGAACAGTATATCGTTGAATTTGTCTTTCCAAAGGCTATTTAAAAATGTATTAAAATATAGCGTGTTTCATTTAAAAAAATTAAATTACATTTGTCCACCCTGTATATAGTAAAGTGACAACAAAAACAATACAAAAAAGTTGTAGATAATTTTATTAGAAACAACTTTTGTATTTACATTTTTTTCACAGCCCTTGTAGATTTCGAGATAAGGTATAGGCCCCTCTTAAACAGGCCACCCTGTACAGGGCTTTCATTTCAAAACTTGCCACTCACGTTATCTGCGTAAAGAGACAGATTTCTAGAAATCGCCGAAACACGTCAACAAAATTATTGAGGGGGTACCTACGTTAATTTGTTGACGTGTTCCGGCGATTTCCAGAAATCTGTCTCTTTAGGCAGATAACGTGGGTGGCAAATTTCGAAATGAAAGCCCCTGTATGTACATGTACGTACACAGATGCGTGTATAACAGTATCTGTGTTATGTGTATGTACACAAACGAATTGACGCGCATGCTCATAAATAACACAGTATCGTAGTATAGGGTGATTTAAAAAGCGCGCCCGATTTGAATTGCTCGAAAGAGAGTTTTGGCATGCCATCAAAGTAAAGGGGGCCATGCCCTTTGTCATTTTCCATACCTAAATTGAGAAGGTTTGATCCAACCGGTTCATCTTAATTCTAAAGATATTAAAAAAAATTGAGCTCCTTTTTTAATGTATTAAATCTGGCGCACTTTTTTGAATCACCCTATATACAGGGTCATTTCTAAGTTGGGGTTTTCCTTTTTAAATGACGTGGAACTTAAAAAATACAGGAGTTTTCCAAATAATATTTTCTCGACAGCTCTAAAATAAAAGAGATATGTTCATTTCAAATAATATCAAAAATCAAATATTTTAATAAATATATTTTTTAAAATACAAAAGGTAAAATTCTTGAATTTAATCTTTTTTTCTAGAAATCTGTCTCTTTACGCAGATAACGTGGATGGCAAGTTTTGAAATGAAAGTCCTGTACATATTTACGTATAATATGCATAAGGCTATTTTCGAAATTCTCGAATGTAGGGCTGAGAAATCTTACTTCCTTAAGACAATGTGTAATTGTAGTTATATTTAACAAACTACAGTAAAAAAATCAACTGCTTATAAATCGTTTTTTATGAGCCAGTAATTGCTACATTTTTGACAAAGGGAACACTGCAGACCAAACCATTTATTTTGAGGCTCAAATCGAATTTCGAATTATTTATAAAATTATCTCATTATTCACCTGAAAAATTAACTGTTAACTGTTAATAATTACATTTGCATAATCACCTAATCAAGGTATTTTACATGTGCTATGTGCTCACTAGTGCTCACTTTAGTAGTTACTACTTTTGCAACTTTTCGCAATAGAAAAGTTAGGCGTATTATCAATACGAAGATGCTCGAGAAGATTTAGCCAGTGATTGATGAATGAAGTACCTATTACCGTGAAGTCGACAACTTTTGAGAGTAGGACTGGAGAAATGTACCTCTTTATTTGTAGGACAGTGTAACCATTTAATTGTAGTAATATTTACTAAGCTACATTAAAAAAATCAATTGGTTATAAATCATTTTTTATGTAACGTATCTGCTACATGTTTGAGAAGGGAGACAGCCTAGATCAAACCATTTATTTTGTCGGACAAATGTTGTTTCATATTAGTTATGAAACTATCTCAACATTTCGCTACAAGATTAACTGTTATTATTTACATTTGTATGATCACCAAATAGACATGTTTTCCACCTGCGCACTCTGTTAGCTACCTGTTTTTGGAATTTTGGCAAAAGAAAATTTGGGCGTCTTATCAAAATGAGGATGCTCACGAAGATTTAGCCGGTTATTAATGAAAAAAGTTAAATCGTGAAATCGACAACTTTTGAGTGTAGGACTGAAAATAGCTACCTGTTTATTTGTAGGACAGTGTGACCATTTAATTGTAATAATATTTACCAACCTACATTGAAAAAATCAACTTGTTATTAATCATTTTTTATGCAACGTAATTGCTACATGTTTGAGGGGGGGACATCGTAGACCAAACCCTTTATTTTGTCGGACAAAGGTTGTTTCAAATTATTCATAAAATTATCTCAACATTTAGCTAAAAAATTAACTGTTATTGATTAAATTTTTATAGTCACCAAATCGACATGTTTTACACCTGCGCAGTATGTTAGCTACCTGTTTTCGCAATTTTCGTTGAGAAAAAAGTTGGGCGTCTCGGTGAAATGAAACTGCATTGAAAAAACTAGCTTGTTATTAATGATTTGAAAAAAAGGTACTCGGCTCCCGGACTATAAGGGATATTTAAGGGACATTTAATGCAAGTGGAGCTTTGAATGTGACTCTGATAGAAACAAAAGTCACATTCAAAACTCCACTTAGATTAAATATCCCTTAAGTGATGGCCGTGCGAATAGCCATTATTCTCCTAAATAGTTCTTCCATTTCCATATTTTTATGGGTCATTCCTTCGAAAAACCGTATCTTGCACAATGCGTTGCCAAAACTAACCTAATCTATCTTACTTTAACTTAAACTGCCCTTCCCTCCTTTCAAAAGGCCTGTATCCGCCACTAAACTATCAAAAATATGCCAATTTTTTGTGCAAATTCAAACTTTCAAAAATTATAATTTGAAGTTAATTACATAATGATAATAATAATATCAATAAGATAAAACAAATTTGAAGTCGATATTTGGTTCAGAAGCAAAGTTATGACATTTTCTCTAATTCGACTCCCAAATTCTATGGATAATAGTTATTTATACACCAAGTGAGTTAAATGAATGTTTATTTATGAGAAGAAAGTTTAACCCACGAGCCCTAGCGAGTGGGTTAATTTTCTTCGAATGAATAAACATTGTAACTCACGTGATGTATACAAAATTTTATCCCATTTTGTGGAAATTTGAAAAATAAAGTACAAGGAAAAATTCCGGGAGTGAGTTAAAAATATTTTAAGTCACTGAGGTTTCAGATTTTTAGTTAGGCAGAGTGACTTAAAATGCCGAAAGTGAGTTAAAATCTTTTTAACTCACTGAGGTGATAAACGTCTACTTACCTTTATTGTTATGCGTTCAATAATGTCATTTTTAAACGTCAAAATGAAATAAATGTACTTTAACAGACTGTCAAAAGTATGCCAATTTTTTGTGCAACTTCAAACTTCCAAAAAATCATAATTTGAAGTTTTCCCAATAAGATAAAATAAATTTGAAGTCGATATTTGGTTCAGAAGCAAAATTATGGCATTTTTTCTAATTTGACTCCCAAAATTCTATGGAAAAATGTACTTTAACAGGCTGTCAAGAGTATGCCAATTTTTTTGTGGAACTTCAAACTTTCAGAAATCATAATTTGACTATTTGAAGTTTTCCCAATAAGACAAAACAAATTCGAAGTCGATATTTGCTTCCAAAGCAAAGTTAATTATGACATTTTTTTCTAATTAAACTCCCAAAATATCATAGAAAATTTGTTGTGCAACTTCAAACTTTTCAATAATCATAATTTGAAGCTTTGCAGCTGCAAAACTGTTGAAGCTACATTGAAATCATTCATAGGAGATTTGTAGAAAATTTAATTATCTTTAATTGAAGCCTAATTACGTTAAGATCGGATTGAAAGTAACAAAGTTGATGAAAATCATGGTCAAAAGACTTTGAAGCTTTGCAGCTGCCAAACTATTGAAGCTACATCAAAATCTTTTAGAGGAGATTTGAAGAGAATTTAATTGGCTTTAATTAGAGCTTAACTACATCAAAATCGGTTAGAAATTAACGGAGCTGTGCGGCAAAAACTGTCTCAATGTCATTTTTGCAAAATTTCTCAATATTCAATTTTAAAGTTTCTAACTGTTGAAACCAAATCAAAACCTAAATAAAACTGGCACAAAAATCAAATTTCAATTTATTTCCAGAAAAAGAAACCAAACCCGAAGAAGACCCCGTCAGCATCCGAACAAAATCCCCAACACCCCTGGAAACCGAAGAAAAGAAACCCATCCTACTACCTGAACCATGTCCGCCCAAAAGATTCAAATCCTCGATACTTGGAGGCGACGTACCTTACGGCAGCCGAGGTCACGTCCTCACCAGAGCCGAAAGAAAAGAATACCCTCCAATTTTAACACCAAAAAAGGTAAACATCATTTGTCAACTTAAGGTTTGTTCCAACACGTCAAAAACCACTTTGTATACAAATTCCGGGTTTTACGCATAAATGTTTAGCTCGTATACGGTTTTTTTATGTGTTGGAACAAAGCTAATATACCAATATTCACTAATAAGTTTTTCATAATCTAGGTAACATTACCATCGAGTCCAAAACCTAAAGACGAAGACGTTTTGAAACCTCAAAACCTGGCCCCAATAAGACACTTCTCAGTCATCCAGCGAACACCGAAACCTCAAACAAAGCGAGACGAAGACACAGATGTCCGGTTACCGCCACTAGTCCACCAAGAACCCGAACAAGACCAACCCATTGACTACCACATACCTAAACGACGCGGCGAAGTTGAAAACGAAGAAGAAGAACGACGTCATCGAGAACAACGCCGATCTCATTGTTCAAAAATCAGCAAACCTTTAATCAATGTGAGATCATTAACAGGAAAACTTCCAGTTCCAGTAACTTCTGCAGCTGCTGGCCATGGCCGAAACACTTCACAAAGCAACAATGCCTCTTCCAATAATAATACAAACAATTCATCTAATAGTGGAAATAGTATTAACTTTACCGGAAGTTCATCAGGAGGTGGCAACATTGGAGGTTTAGGCAGTGGTACAGGAGGTGGAGGCATGAATCCAGGCAGAGACGGCCGACAAAACTACGGCCCCAGTAGTCCTCCAACAGGCTCTTTACCACCCTTTTACGAATCCCTAAAAGGCGGCAACAATGGAAACAACTTCAATGCAAACAGCTTTTCATCGTCATACTTATTATCCAGCCAACAAAACATGGATTGCGATACTGGACAAGATTTATTAAACATTAGTGGACAAAGTTCTCCAAAACAATACTCAACCTTGCAAAATGCCTCATATGGTATTTCAATGAAAGATGAAGCAGATTTGGATTTATATGAAAACAAAATGGATCCAATGAATCAGCTTTTGCCCAATAATTATCATTATGATGAAAGCATGATGGTTGATATGGTTACAGGGGCTGTTGTAGATCCTTTGCAGTTTACTGCAACATTAACGTTTTCTAGTAGTGCTGAGCATGCTTTGCTTGAAAGCCTTACAGACGCAACTGATTTGTCGTCGTTTTTGCAAAGACTGCCCAATGAGGAACCGACTGAAAATGAAGAAGCTGTCAATAATAATTCTGAAGCTACTCAGCTTCAAGTTGATCAAAATATTGACAGTTTTAACGAGCAAATGTTGAGTAGGGGTCAATATGATACTGGTAGAGCAGGGTATAATCATTCTCAGTTTTCAAAAATGTATCAGGAATCGTTGCCCAATTACAGTTCGTCGTTGAATAGTTCGACTTCGGATTCGTTGCAAGTGCAAATGCAGCAACAGCAGATGTTGTCGCCCAGTCTGAGTTTCAATGGTAAGTATATTTGGTTTGGTAGGGGTTTGTTTTGGTCAATTCTTGCAAATTAGATTTTGGTAATGATGATTCTTATGGTCGTTCAACTGTAGAGTACTGTCAATTGTTAATATCATCAGCATATCGAGTTCTTTGGACATTTTTGCCTTCCAGCCTTAACAGTTATTCTAGAAAAATATGTTAACAATCAGTGTTTGCCTATTTGTAGAACCATTTTACTTGAACATAAGTTTTTTGCCACCAATATCACGTGACTTTAAAATGGTATTTGTCAAATTTTATAACTATACCGCTATCTAGTTCTTCTTTGTCGTTAACAATAGAAATAGGAGCTTCATCTACAGTATCTTCAGTTTCTTATTTTTCATCTTATTTATCACAATTTCCGTTTTTTTAAAAGCCGATGATGAGAAAGCGTGGTCGCTCCAAATTGTTGCTATCAAAGTATAAACATCAGCCGAAAACTCACGCAAAGTTTGCGGGAAGCCATATGAATATTGGTACTTTCACAACTCATAAGTATCGTCTGATATGATATGAAGAATCTTCAATTCGATTTTATAAAGTGTAATGTTTGCTTCCACTTTGCCGATACAGCAGTTGGTGAAGGTGCGGGCAAGCATTGATATAAATTCCTGCTTGACGTGTAGTTCTCGACAAAACCCATTAAATACTTTAGGGGAAATTTACACAGAATCGATGATATGTTGTTTATCTTTGGTCAATCCCCAACCACATGTTAGAAGGGATTTCAACTGTGAAGCCCCAAAGGACGCCATTGTTTTCAGGGTTGCTGATGTAATCCCAGGCTTCCGAACAACTGCCACCTGTTCACCACCCATTTCCCTTGAACAGTTTATTTAAAATTAATAAGGGCTCAACATGTTTCGAGATTATTAGAATCTCATCATCAGGGGCTAATTAGCTGGAATTCTCTGCTTCATTATAGGTGACAATTTCGTAATGCCACAAATTGGGGTTTTCATAAAGCCAATTGGTACCCTCCCACCATTTAGATTCGTACAGCTGTTGTGGTGAACAGCTTCGTGATGGAAGGTCGGCTGGGTTTTGGGATTCAGGAACATGACGCCAACTATCCGTTGTGGAAGTCTTTCTGATCTCAGTCACTCTATTACATACAAAGTTGCACTATTCTTCATTTCTCCTAATCCATGACAATAGTGTTGTTGTATATGTCCAGAAAAAACACTCCAATGATTTGAATTCAAAAGCCTTTTTCGAAAAATTGCACGATCTAGTGCCAATAACTGCCGCCAGCAACTCCGCATTCGAGATATAGTCACAATTTTTATTAGCGCAACTAGATTTTTTGCAGCTGAAAGAGTAATATGAACTGTATCTTGATTATATTATTTTTTTTTCTGATCTATTCGTTTATTTTCCACCGCCCACTAATTTATACTTACCACCCCCCAAAAGCAGCTGAGCTCTTTACCGCTCCCCGAAATGGCCCACTGGAGGGCGTTTTCGCCCACTTTAGGAACCACTGGTCTATAATGACAGTTTTTCGAGACAGGTTTGTCTACACAGACAGCTTTTCGAGACAGGTTAGTAGTAACGGGGGCACCTGAGCCTGAGAAATTTGTCGATACCGTGGGAAAATCTCTAGACCGAAGGCGCCTTTGATCTGAAATTTCGTGGATTTGGCCCGGGCCAACTCCAAATTTTTCGATGTCATGAAGTTATCGGTGGCGCCATCTAACGTACATAGTGTAAAGTTCTTTGTGTCCTTATACAGGATGCCGTAGTGGTAAATAAGAAAAAATCGTGAATCAGCATGCCGCCGACGTTTAATGTGGGAACAAACAGGAGTATCATGTTTCACGGTAAACCGGTTGAGGCACACCTCAAAAAGAGCGCCATACCGTAGGCTCTTTTACAAACATGAGTAAGTTCTTTGCATGTCAACCAAAATGGGCAAAGCTTTAATCCAGTGACTTCTTAATGTCTTCACGAATTTCAGTGTCCCAGGCCAACTTTTCCTTTCAAGTTTTCTGGAGTGACAGCTCCGGAATCAATGTAGTCGAACAGGCAAATCCAATAGAATCAAACACCTTCTGAGCCAATGATCCTTTTTGGTAACTGCCTCAGTCATAAGTAACTCCAGATCTCCAACACATTCTTCACTGATACTTAAAGTGTCATCACAATTATTCCAAGCAAGTCCCAAGAAAAGAATGGGTTTATCAAAACTATCTGAAATAATTTTTGTTGAACAAGAAAACTCCCACCCGTGTGCCAAAATCATACTGAATTGACGTATAAAAGTTTGTAGATCCGGTAGACTGGTCACACAGTTGTCCACATAGAAACTCTTTGCTAAAATTGAGAGCAAGGTATGGTCAAATTCAAAAGTCCTTTCATTATGTTTTTCGACTTTTAGAAGGTGATAGGCATTGATGACCAACTTTTAAACACCTGAAACAAGCCTTTTCTGCGGTCAAAATCTCTTTACTTTTTTCCAAGGGAAAAACCTGCTAATCTAGGCTCATAAGCAGCAAATCGATCTCTATAAAGTGCAAGAAGCATTTCCCTGTAACAATTTGGGAAACAATGTTTTTAGGGTATTTCCACCCTGCTGAATACGAATCTGCCTGTTGCCAAAGCGAAATTTGGACTGGTATTCAATATGGCGGCCAAGATGTCTTCCAAACCTCTGTCGCCCTATATCTTTCTGGTCGGCTGGCTTAAAATATTGATTTAAACTCTTGCTTAGTGGTTTCCTCGAATGCTTATAATATTGTCAGAAATTATCTACCTTAAGCCTGGAGTGGTGGGTTCCAAGAAGGCGCCCAAGATGGTCGCCGAAACTTTGTTGTGTTTACGTGTTCTTGTATTTTTATGTGTTACATATTGCTAGAAAATTCTTTGATAGATAAAGATATGGAGCTGTTCATCCTTTAGTACTTATGTTTTTCGAAGGACTCAGTTGAGATGCCTAAGTACTAAGGGATGCACAAATCTGTCCTCTATATCTCTATCTACCAAGAAGTTTTTAAGCAATACAGCTTACAAAATACAATTTGGTAACAGAATCGTGTTACTGAAGGTGTCACTTTTAGTATTTTTTGTAATTTTTGTAATATACTGACGTTTTTTGCACGATATGACGTCAACCAGTTGATATAGCTGTAACGTCCAACCATAACCTATGCATTATCTGCCAGAAGAGAAAATGTTCGAAGGACAAATTATCAGATCTGCTGGATAACGGCAAAGAGACTCTACAGAAATGACAAAGAGACTCTACAGAACTGTCGTCATCTCGATATGTCACCAGGGCTCGGACTGACTGTGACGACATAAGCCGGTATATTTTCTGCCAGAGCGATAAAAGCGAAGCACTAAGGCAGGTAATGTCGAAGCCAATGAATGAGACTATAGAGTGCCAGCCCAGGGTTCCAGTAAACGAATATAGGACATCTAACATAATATATGATTTGAAATTAGAAAATGTCAACAGATTAATGAGAAAAAGGAAAAATAAAATTGATATACAGAATTCAAAACATCGAAGGCAACAAATAACCTACTAGAGAATCAACAGTTGACAGATAGAGAATATACTATGTACATGTAAAGGAATAGTGATGAGAAGTATATGCAAAGAATTTAAATCAGAAGAAATTGCTAAAAAATCCACTGTCTAAATATCTCAAGCTTCGCATATAATATTCTCCTTGTAGTTGTTTCGACAGTCCCGCCTAAAAACGACCCTCACGTACTTGTCGCTCATTGTATTAAGCTCCTCGTTTTCCATGAACAGGAAGGCGATAATCTCGTTGTCCTGTAGTCCCTTTTCAACTCCTGACAGGCCTACTAAAAGGTCCCAGTACACTATTCGATAATTTTTGAAGCACTGCCGGTTCATTAACAACCCCAAAGGGCATGCGCGTAAATTTAAATATACCGTTTGGCGTTACGAATGCGGTTTTACGCTGTGTAGTATTTTTCAACTGGAATTTGACAGTAATTACTTCGCAAATCTAATGACGTAAAATATTTCATACCGAATAAACGATCTAGTTCAATGGATACGCTAGTACTTTATCCAATAGAGTTTTTTCAAGTGAAATTTTGATAACAGGTCTCGTTGCATAGAAACTTCTAGCAGCTACCCACATACCTTCAGTTCTTTTTGACATAGCATTGGTAAACGCTTATAAATTGGTTTGCTTAATCGGTTTTTCAAATCTAGCTGGATCTCTGGCGCATTCATTTATGAATCGAGCTCATTTTTCATCCTCAAGATTTTCGATTTTAATTAAAAATTGTGCTGTCCTGCTGTCTTAAGGTCGATTCACACAGAGCAGTGACGTGACAGTGTCGTGACCGGCACGTGATTTCACCGGCGAAGTCAAAATTATTCTCATAAGAATTCCCATCTGCCGTGACAGTGCAAACAGTGCTGTCGCCGGCACCGTAACGTGATTATTATATCAGTTCCTGACGATATTTTTGGATTTTAACGGCCGTACAAATTGAGTTGGCCCGTTTTGTATAACCTGCGCAACTCAAAATAAAATGGACTCTGATTTCAAGAATGCTATCTGGAGGGTGTCATGGTTTTCCAAATGAACTTCTATTTTGCACAAGAATAGGTTGAACGAATTTTCTGGCATCCTAAATTATCCAAAAAATTTTGCAGCAAAATTAGTGCGATCTGCAAAAGTTCTTCATCTGAAAATGTGAGTTTACGGGTTACGTTACTGCTATGTGTGAATCGACCTTTATCGTCTACTGCTCCGCCCGTTAATATATATTGACAAATGCTTTTTTATCCAGATCTTTTGAAAAAGGGTTAACATTTTATTTTATATTAGTAGTTGAATCTTGCACCATACGTCTGCTCTTGTTAATAATGTGTTGCTGAAAATCGGCTGTTACATCTTGACTTTTTTTTAAGCCTGCTACATCCATAACATGACATTATGGCTCTGGTACGGAACTAATAACTTTTACACCATCCCTGTTTTGGTGAATATGGAATTTGTTGTGTGAGATATTCCTGTCAATTTATTTGCAGCATCGGCATTTATCGTTCGTTCTAATGTGAGATTGACAGGTTGTCCTGAAAATTCTTTATCCGTTCGCTTGACACTAAAACCTAAATGAGTTTCATGAACCCTTGTAGTTCATCATAACATGAAATGTTCCTATATCCTATTCACAATCCGTAGTCCAAAGGTGAAGGTAAATTTATCACCTTTCCCTATCAAATAGCACTGAGAAGTGATAAATTTTACCTTTACCTCTGGACATGATATATGGATGAACAACTTATCAAAACGCGGTTTTTCTGAGCTCTTTATCTGATAAGCAAGTTTAGCTATAGCCAGATCATATGTAATCTGCACATACTTCTCATCACATTCATTTGCAACCTGCATGCCTTGCTTTATAGTTTCTATGATAGTAAATTTGTTGGTCGGTGAAAAATTATTGGTTGTGTTGCATAGTGAACCCAGTAAAAACGTTCTCAAATTTTGTCCAAATTCTTGTTAACTCCCCTGAAGTTCCGTCATGTATTTTTTTTAATACATCCTCTACTCGATCTTGTGGAATAACCAGTTGGCTCTTAGTAGATTTTCCATCTTTTCAGTAAACATAGGCGCAACTAGGGGGGTGCTTAGCACCCCTAAAGCAAAAATTAGCACTCGCATTCGCCATCCCACTATAACACTACCTACAGTGGCACTACCTAAAACTAATATAAAAAATCAGTGCAACCAAATTATTTATTTTTTTTTGTACTTACTTACGTCATCGATGACGTCATAATTTAGAAATTTTAGATTTTTACTATCACTTCTCCGCGATTCTAAATTCACTTTTCCGCGATTGTAAACCCACTTGTCCGCAAATATTACCTCATTTTTCCGCGATTCTTATCTCACTTTTCCACGAATTTACACTCACTTTTTTTGAAATTTTTGACTCATTTTTTTTGCGATTTTTGACCCACTTCTTTGCAATTTTGTCTCCACTTTTTTACGATTTTTGGCTCTTTTTTTTCTCGATTTTTGACTTTTTTTCGCGATTTTGTCCTTACTTTTTTTGCGATTTTAGCCTCACTTTTTTGCGATTTCACCCTCACTTTTTTGCAATTTTACCCTCACTCCTCCGCGATTACAAACTTATTTTTCCGCTATTTCATCCTCACTTTTCCGCGATTTTTACCTCATTTTCCCGCGATTCTTTTCCTACTTTCCGCGATTTTATCTTCACTTTTCCGCGAATTTGACCTGACTTTTTTTTTGTGATGTTATCCTCACTTTTTCGCGATTCCTATTTCATTCTTCGCGATTCTATCCTCATTTTTCGTGGCTTTATCCTCATTTTTCCGCGAGTCTCATCTTACTTTTCCGCGAATTTAAACTCACTTTTTTTGAAATTTTTGACTCATGTTTTTTTTTTGCGATTTTTGACTCTTTTTTTGCGATTTTATCATCACTTTCCGCGATTTTATCCTCATTTTTCCTCATTTCAAAATTACGAGAATAACGATAATTTTTGAAAAGTTACGAAAAATTAAGGGAATTACGTTAAAGTACGTAAAATATGAAAAATTATGAGAATTGCAAACATTTACGAGAATTACGGAACATTACGAGAATCACGGCAAAAACTGGCAAAAAGATAATTGTGAAAATTTTCCAGAAAAAGAGGAAAGTGAGGATCTCATTAAAGCAAAATTTTCCAGTGAAAAAACACTTCAGGAAAAATTCTGGAAAATTGACTTATTTAAGCAAAATTAAGGAAAATTCATCTTCTCACATTTCAATTTATTTCTGGAAAACTAATAAAGCAAAACTTATGAAATTTTTCAAGGAGAAAGAAGAAAATGAGGAGCTCATTATAGGAAAATTTCAAAATTTTCTAGTGAAAAATCACTCCAAGGAAAGTTCTAGAAAATTGACTTTTTGAAGCAAAATTCATAATTTCACATTTCAATTTTTTTCTGGAAAATTAGCAAAGCAAAAATTGTGAAATGTTTCCAAAAGAAAAAGGAAACTGAAGAACTCATTATAGGAAAATTTCAAAATTTTCCAGTAAAAAATTCTGGAAAATTGTCTTTTTTAAGTAAAATTAAAAAAAAAATTATCCTTTTACATTTTATTTTTTTTCTGAAAAACTGGCAAAGGAAAAATTTCGAAAATTTTCCAGGAAAAAGAAGAAAGTGAGAAGCTTATTATATAAAAATTTAAAAATTTTCCAGTGAAAAATCACTCCAGGAGAAATTCTGGAAAACTTACTTTTAAGCAAAATTAATTCTTTTAATTTTAATTTTTTTCTGGAAAACTGGCATGTAAAGCCTCGCAAAACAAGATGCATCAGTCGCTCAAACGTAGCTGGAGCATTACACAATCCAAAAGGCATCACGTTAAACTGGTATAAACCGCTTCCGGTACTAAAGGCAGTTTTCTCTTTGTCATCTTTATGTATTGCCACTTACGAGTATCCACTCTCAAGATGGAAAACCATTTGAAGCCCAGCAGAGTTGTTAATGTATCGTCTATAAAATGTGTATAACAAAGCAATTTCTAACATTTATGACAGGAACCAAATATTTCATCGTCATATTCAGGTGCTTCACATATTCGGATCTTCGTCTGAATCGTTTTCGTTTTGATTTATTTCCTGGGTAATGGGCTTCACAAATCTAATTAACAGGAGGTCGTTTTTAAAGGAATAAGTTTCATACTACAATACTATGTACTATGTTTAGTATGGGATTTTTGTAAACGTGCTAGTGGCACATTCTTAAAAGAATCCAAATCACTGTCATTACAATAGTTATCTGGTTTCTGTTACTGTTGCTTTGGCTTGGTATTTCATGTTGCGTCAAGAATTCTGACTCTAATTTCTGTTTCTAACTCTTCTTTGTATATAAGTTCTTTTCACGCTAGACACTTTGACTGGATCAAAGATTTTCTCGACTTTGAACTATTGGCAGGTAGAAATGGCTTTAGAGAATAAGGAAAAGTCTGCATTCACTGTCGGAATTGGATTATGGCAATTTACCGTCATACCATTTGGATTGTGTAATGCTCCCGATACCTTTCAAAGGATCATGGAAACTGTTTTAAAGGGCTTATCCTGGTCAACTTGCTTAGTGTACCTGGACGACATCATTGTGGTCAAAAAATCGTTTAAGGACCACATGATGAACTGAAAAGAAGTACCTACTCCAGAGACTAGGGAATTCCGGCTTAAAGCTCAGTCCAAAGAAATGTCAACTTTTTCAAGAATTCAAGAAGAAGTTCAGTACCTATAAGTCATATAGTCTCTGGTCAAGGAGTAGCAATGAATAATCAGAAAATTAACGCAGTTCAAGAGTGGCCAATTCCTAAAGATCTGTATCAACTTCGAACTTTGAAGTTTCCTTGGACTACGTACCTACTACCGAAGTTAGGTACAAGAATTTTTCAATGTTGTCAAGCCACTATTACTAAGCTCACTGAAGGACAAAGACGTTTTCAATGCGATCAAGAGTGCCAGGGATCTTTTCAGAAGTTAACCACCAATTCTAGAATATCCACTTTCAGAGGGAAACTTCATTTTAGATACCGATGCCAATAATGTGGAGCTAGGCACTGTTCTGTCTCATATCCAACAGGAAGAGAAGAAAGTCATAGGTTACTTCAGTAAAACTTTATCAAAATCAGAACGTAACTACTGTGTTACCAGAAGAGAACTTCTGGCAGTACTTAAAAGAGTAGAACACTTTTATAAGTACCTTTACCGAGGAAAGTTTTAAACTTTTTAAACGAACTTTTAAAAGATCCTGATTCTTGAGTCATTACTTCATGGTTTTTCCAAGAGAAAATTATTAAAATCTTCAAGATTCTCAGATACTTTAGATCCTGAAAGAACTCTATAAACCTCAACTATAAGAATAGCTGGATTTTTCTCTGGAAAGACTTTCAAGATCCTAATTCTTAAGACTTTTGGAAACATTGTTGGTGAAAAATGATTATGTCAATGATAAAAATAGGAATAAATTGACAAGAATTGACCATTCAACAAGTTACAATTATCCGAAAATCATAATATAAAGACTCACTTACCGTTGGTTTGTTTTCACAGGTAGCGCCCTGGACCTGGACTCGCCTACAACAATGTCCCTACCGAGTCCGGGAGCAACTTCCTGTTCCCTGGACGGCGACGGCGCCATCAGCCCGCCAGCGGCAAGCGTAAGTGGCAGGCGAAAGCGAAAGTCTTCCGGAGAGGTGGCAAACCTGCAAGGCAGGGTAAATGTCTATTACTGTTTGTTACACGAGGGTTTGTACTTTATGTACATTAAATACAATACCACTAGACACTATATTGAATTTATATGAATCAATAATCCAAGTTCCCTATGATTATATCAATGTCAAAAGTACAAACCTTCGTGAAATGAACTCTATGTGCTATTTGCCTATTCTTCATGGAGCTGTTTCTAGCAATTTTTCCTAAATCCTATTTTTTCTTGATGGTTTTTAGCTTGGTTTACCCAATGAAGTCCAACTAGAGTTTGTTAACGGAGGTCACGGTATCAAAAACCCATTGGCCAATCAGGAAACGAGCCGGCAAGGCCCCAGGACCGAAGACAAAGTAACTAAAGCGGCTTCAGTGACTTCGGAAGACGGCCAAACGACCTTTTGTTGTAAGGTACGCACCTGCAAAGTAAGAAAAACTTGGTTTAATACAAAAAAAAAAACAGGGTTGGCATATACAAATTTTACATGATTTTAATGCATGTGAGTAAGACAGTCTGCTTCTGAGCCAAATCCCAAGTTCCAGTTTGAATTTTTATGTTTTGAAAGTTTCAATTTACAGCTCTGAAACATTTGAAGTGCCTCAGATAATTAAACAACTTGTGACAGCTTGTCAAAGTTTAATTTCTTGAAAAAAAAAAAACGTTTAATTGTAAAAGCAGGCATAAGTCGGCTTCTGAGTCAAATCCCAATAAGTTCCAGGAATCTGAGCAACTTGAAACTTCCAGGAATTCATAATTGAAGTCTCTTCTTTAAATATAATTAATCTGAAGTCAATCTGAGCCTCAGAAACGGAATTATGAATTTTTTTTAAAATCCTTGTAAAATTCTTAACAAATCAACTTTGGAATTTTTTCAAAAATACTTCCAGGAATCTGAGCAACTTGAAACTTTGAGGAGTTCATAATTGAAGTCTTTTTTTCAAATATAACAAATCTGAAGTCAATCTGAGCCTCAGAAACAGAATTATAAATTTTTTTAAAAATCCTTGTAAAATTCTTAACAAATCACTTTTGGAATTTTTTCAAAAATACTTTCAGGAATCTGAGCAACTTGAAACTTCCAAGAATCCATAATTAAAGTATTTTCTTCAAATATAACAAATCTGAGCTTCAAAAACTGTCTCAGTGTCATTGCCAACCCTGTACAAAAATTAATTTTTCCCGTGGTGTATGGGTCACAACTTAACCCAACTATTGTCCAGAACTTTCTAGAATTTTCTTGTTTTTTTTTCCAGATTTGCAACAAAACTTTCGCCCTCCAAAGGCTCCTGAACAGGCACATGAAATGCCATTCGGACATCAAAAGGTACCTGTGCACATTTTGCGGTAAAGGTTTCAACGATACCTTTGATCTTAAAAGACATACAAGGACACATACAGGTAAGTTCAAAAAATTCAAATAAAAATCCTAATATGTAAAGGTATTTTTTGTGTTACAGGAGTACGACCCTACAAGTGCGCCCTCTGTGAAAAATCCTTCACCCAAAGATGCTCTCTTGAGTCGCATTGTCTGAAAGTCCATGGAGTACAACATCAATATGCCTACAAAGAAAGGCGGACAAAGGTAAGCACATTAGGTCTGTTCTCACAAAAATTATGCAAAATCTCGTAGAAACTATGAGGAATTCCATTGAAATTATGCTAAATGCCATGGAAATGGTGCCTAATTTTATACAAAGTATGCAGAATTTCATTGAAAATATGCCAAAACCCATTAAAATTATGCGGAATTCTAGTGAAATTAAATGGAAAACGACATAGCATTCCAACAAAAGCGTTGAGTTTCAAAAAAATCAAAATCTCATAAAAATTATGTAGATTTAAGTTGTATGGAATTTCATAAAAATTATGCGAAATTTCATAGAAACTATGCAAAAGTCCAAAGAATTTTTGCGGAATACAATATTCTATAAAAACTATGCAAACTTCTACTGAAATTATGTGGAATTACGTGGAAATTATGCGAAATTTCATAAAAATTGTGTGCGATTAAATAAAATTCCAGTAAAATTTATTAAAATTCCAGGGATATGACGTAGAACTCCAAAAAAAAATTTGTAGAATTCCTGTAAAATAATGGGATTCCGATGAAATTCCAATAATTTTCCTGGAGTTTTAAGTAATTTCTTCAAAATTTTAACTAAAAGTCAACTTTGAGGCTCAATTGCTCAAAAACTATTCGAGCTATCAAATCCACAGATTTATAGAGAATTTAATGCTTTTTCCAATGGTATATAATTTATTTCAATTTGCTCAAAATTTATCAAAGATATGGGCAAAAAATTCCAAAGTTGATTTGTTAAGAATTTTACAAGGATTTTTAAAACAACTCATAATTCCGTTTCTGAGGCTCAGATTGACTTCAGATTTATTATATTTAAAAAAGATACTTCAATTATGAATTCCTGGAAGTTTCAAGTTGCTCAGATCCTTGAAGTATTTTTGGAAAAATTCCAAAATTGATTTGTTAAGAAGTTTACAAGGATTTTTTGAAAAATTCATTATCCCGTTTCTGAAGCTCAGATTGACTTCAGATTTATTATATTTGAAAAAGAGACTTCAACTATGAATTCCTAGAAATATCAAGTTGCTCAGATTGCTGGAAGTATTTTTGGAAAAATTCCAAATTTGATTTGTTAAGAATTTTACAAGGATTTTTAAAAAAATTCATAATTCCGTTTCTGAAGCTCAGATTAACTTCAGATTTATTATATTTAAAGAAGAGACTTCAATTATGAATTCCTGGAAGTTTCAAGTTACTTAGATTCCTGGAAGTATTTTTGGAAAAATTCCAAAGTTGATTTATTAAGAATTTTACAAGGATTTTTAAAAAAACTCATAATTCCGTTTCTGAGGCTCAGATTGACTTCAGATTTATTATATTTAAAAAAGATACTTCAATTATGAATTCCTGGAAGTTTCAAGTTGCTCAGATTCCTGGAAGTATTTTTGAAAAAATTACAAAGTTGATTTGTTAAGAATTTTACAAGGATTTTTAAAAAAATTCATAATTCTGTTTCTGAAGCTCAGATTGACTTCAGATTTGTTATATTTGAAGAAAAGACTTTAATTATGAATTTCTGGAAGTTTCAAGTTGCTTAGATTCCTGGAAGTATTTTTGGAAAAATTCCAAAATTAATTTGTTAAGAATTTTACAAGGATTTTAAAAAAAAAATCATAGTTCTGTTTTTGAAGCTCAGATTGACTTCAGATTTGTTATATTTGAAGAAAAGACTTTAATTATGAATTCCTGGAAGTTTCAAGTTGCTCAGATTTCTGGAAGTATTTTTGAAAAAATTCCAAAATTAATTTGTTAAGAATTTTAGAAGGATTTTTAAAAAAATTCATAGTTCTGTTTCTGAAGCTCAGATTGACTTCAGATTTGTTATATTTGAAGAAAAGACTTCAGTTATGAATTCCTGAAAGTTTCAAGTTGCTCAGATTTCTGGAAGTATTTTTGAAAAAATTCCAAAATTGATTTGTTAAGAATTTTAGAAGGATTTTTAAAAAAATTCATAGTTCTGTTTCTGAAGCTCAGATTGACTTCAGATTTGTTATATTTGAAGAAAAGACTTCAGTTATGAATTCCTGAAAGTTTCAAGTTGCTCAGATTTCTGGAAGTATTTTTGAAAAAATTCCAAAGTTGATTTGTTAAGAATTTTACAAGGATTTTAAAAAAAATTCATAGTTCTGTTTTTGAAGCTCAGATTGACTTCAGATTTGTTATATTTGAAGAAAAGACTTTAATTATGAATTCCTGGAAGTTTCAAGTTGCTCAGATTTCTGGAAGTATTTTTGAAAAAATTCCAAAGTTGATTTGTTAAGAATTTTAGAAGGATTTTTAAAAAAATTCATAGTTCTGTTTCTGAAGCTCAGATTGACTTCAGATTTGTTATATTTGAAGAAAAGACTTCAGTTATGAATTCCTGAAAGTTTCAAGTTGCTCAGATTTCTGGAAGTATTTTTGAAAAAATTCCAAAGTTGATTTGTTAAGAATTTTACAAGGATTTTAAAAAAAATTCATAGTTCTGTTTCTGAAGCTCAGATTGACTTCAGATTTGTTATATTTAAAGGAGAGACTTCAATTATGAATTCCTGAAAGTTTCAAGTTGCTCAGATTTCTGGAAGTATTTTTGAAAAAATTCCAAAATTGATTTGTTAAGAATTTTAGGATTTTTAAAAAAATTCATAGTTCTGTTTCTGAAGCTCAGATTGACTTCAGATTTGTTATATTTGAAGAAAAGACTTCAGTTATGAATTCCTGAAAGTTTCAAGTTGCTCAGATTTCTGGAAGTATTTTTGAAAAAATTCCAAAGTTGATTTGTTAAGAATTTTACAAGGATTTTAAAAAAAATTCATAGTTCTGTTTTTGAAGCTCAGATTGACTTCAGATTTGTTATATTTGAAGAAAAGACTTTAATTATGAATTCCTGGAAGTTTCAAGTTGCTCAGATTTCTGGAAGTATTTTTGAAAAAATTCCAAAGTTGATTTGTTAAGAATTTTAGAAGGATTTTTAAAAAAATTCATAGTTCTGTTTCTGAAGCTCAGATTGACTTCAGATTTGTTATATTTGAAGAAAAGACTTCAGTTATGAATTCCTGAAAGTTTCAAGTTGCTCAGATTTCTGGAAGTATTTTTGAAAAAATTCCAAAGTTGATTTGTTAAGAATTTTACAAGGATTTTAAAAAAAATTCATAGTTCTGTTTCTGAAGCTCAGATTGACTTCAGATTTGTTATATTTAAAGGAGAGACTTCAATTATGAATTCCTGAAAGTTTCAAGTTGCTCAGATTTCTGGAAGTATTTTTGAAAAAATTCCAAAATTGATTTGTTAAGAATTTTAGGATTTTTAAAAAAATTCATAGTTCTGTTTCTGAAGCTCAGATTGACTTCAGATTTGTTATATTTGAAGAAAAGACTTCAGTTATGAATTCCTGAAAGTTTCAAGTTGCTCAGATTTCTGGAAGTATTTTTGAAAAAATTCCAAAGTTGATTTGTTAAGAATTTTACAAGGATTTTAAAAAAAATTCATAGTTCTGTTTCTGAAGCTCAGATTGACTTCAGATTTGTTATATTTGAAGAAAAGACTTCAGTTATGAATTCCTGAAAGTTTCAAGTTGCTCAGATTTCTGGAAGTATTTTTGAAAAAATTCCAAAGTTGATTTGTTAAGAATTTTACAAGGATTTTAAAAAAAATTCATAGTTCTGTTTTTGAAGCTCAGATTGACTTCAGATTTGTTATATTTGAAGAAAAGACTTTAATTATGAATTCCTGGAAGTTTCAAGTTGCTCAGATTTCTGGAAGTATTTTTGAAAAAATTCCAAAGTTGATTTGTTAAGAATTTTAGAAGGATTTTTAAAAAAATTCATAGTTCTGTTTCTGAAGCTCAGATTGACTTCAGATTTGTTATATTTGAAGAAAAGACTTCAGTTATGAATTCCTGAAAGTTTCAAGTTGCTCAGATTTCTGGAAGTATTTTTGAAAAAATTCCAAAGTTGATTTGTTAAGAATTTTACAAGGATTTTTAAAAAAGTTCATAGTTCTGTTTCTGAAGCTCAGATTGACTTCAGATTTGTTATATTTAAAGGAGAGACTTCAATTATGAATTCCTGAAAGTTTCAAGTTGCTCAGATTTCTGGAAGTATTTTTGAAAAAATTCCAAAATTGATTTGTTAAGAATTTTAGAAGGATTTTTAAAAAAATTCATAGTTCTGTTTCTGAAGCTCAGATTGACTTCAGATTTGTTATATTTGAAGAAAAGACTTCAGTTATGAATTCCTGAAAGTTTCAAGTTGCTCAGATTTCTGGAAGTATTTTTGAAAAAATTCCAAAGTTGATTTGTTAAGAATTTTACAAGGATTTTAAAAAAAATTCATAGTTCTGTTTTTGAAGCTCAGATTGACTTCAGATTTGTTATATTTGAAGAAAAGACTTTAATTATGAATTCCTGGAAGTTTCAAGTTGCTCAGATTTCTGGAAGTATTTTTGAAAAAATTCCAAAATTGATTTGTTAAGAATTTTAGAAGGATTTTTAAAAAAATTCATAGTTCTGTTTCTGAAGCTCAGATTGACTTCAGATTTGTTATATTTGAAGAAAAGACTTCAGTTATGAATTCCTGAAAGTTTCAAGTTGCTCAGATTTCTGGAAGTATTTTTGAAAAAATTCCAAAGTTGATTTGTTAAGAATTTTACAAGGATTTTAAAAAAAATTCATAGTTCTGTTTTTGAAGCTCAGATTGACTTCAGATTTGTTATATTTGAAGAAAAGACTTTAATTATGAATTCCTGGAAGTTTCAAGTTGCTCAGATTTCTGGAAGTATTTTTGAAAAAATTCCAAAATTGATTTGTTAAGAATTTTAGAAGGATTTTTAAAAAAATTCATAGTTCTGTTTCTGAAGCTCAGATTGACTTCAGATTTGTTATATTTGAAGAAAAGACTTCAGTTATGAATTCCTGAAAGTTTCAAGTTGCTCAGATTTCTGGAAGTATTTTTGGAAAAATTCCAAAGTTGATTTGTTAAGAATTTTACAAGGATTTTAAAAAAAATTCATAGTTCTGTTTTTGAAGCTCAGATTGACTTCAGATTTGTTATATTTGAAGAAAAGACTTTAATTATGAATTCCTGGAAGTTTCAAGTTGCTCAGATTTCTGGAAGTATTTTTGAAAAAATTCCAAAATTGATTTGTTAAGAATTTTAGAAGGATTTTTAAAAAAATTCATAGTTCTGTTTCTGAAGCTCAGATTGACTTCAGATTTGTTATATTTGAAGAAAAGACTTCAGTTATGAATTCCTGAAAGTTTCAAGTTGCTCAGATTTCTGGAAGTATTTTTGAAAAAATTCCAAAGTTGATTTGTTAAGAATTTTACAAGGATTTTTCAAAAAATTCATAGTTCTGTTTCTGAAGCTCAGATTGACTTCAGATTTGTTATATTTGAAGAAAAGACTTCAATTATGAATTCCTGGAAGTTTCAAGTTGGTTAGATTCCTGGAAGTATTTTTGGAAAAATTCCAAAGTTGATTTGTTAAGAATTTAACAAGGATTTTTAAAAAAGTTCATAGTTTGTTTCTGAAGCTCAGATTGACTTCAGATTTGTTATATTTAAAGGAGACACTTCAATTATGAATTCCTGGAAGTTTCAAGTTGCTCAGATTTCTGGAAGTATTTTTGGAAAAATTCCAAAGTTGATTTGTTAAGAATTTTACAAGGATTTTAAAAAAAATTCATAGTTCTGTTTTTGAAGCTCAGATTGACTTCAGATTTGTTATATTTGAAGAAAAGACTTTAATTATGAATTCCTGGAAGTTTCAAGTTGCTCAGATTTCTGGAAGTATTTTTGAAAAAATTCCAAAATTGATTTGTTAAGAATTTTAGAAGGATTTTTAAAAAAATTCATAGTTCTGTTTCTGAAGCTCAGATTGACTTCAGATTTGTTATATTTGAAGAAAAGACTTCAATTATGAATTCCTGGAAGTTTCAAGTTGGTTAGATTCCTGGAAGTATTTTTGGAAAAATTCCAAAGTTGATTTGTTAAGAATTTTACAAGGATTTTTAAAAAAGTTCATAGTTTGTTTCTGAAGCTCAGATTGACTTCAGATTTGTCATATTTGAAGAAAAGACTTCAATTATGAATTCCTGGAAGTTTTCAAGTTGCTTAGATTCCTGAAAGTATTTTTGGAAAAATTCCAAAGTTGATTTGTTAAGAATTTTACAAGGATTTTTAAAAAAATTCATAGTTCTGTTTCTGAGGCTCAGATTGACTTCAGATTTATTATATTTAAAGGAGAGACTTCAATTATAAATTCCTGGAAGTTTCAAGTTACTCAGATTCCTGGAAGTATTTTTGGAAAAATTCCAAAATTGATTTGTTAAGAATTTTACAAAGATTTTTTAAAAAATTCATAGTTCTGTTTCTGAGGCTCAGATTGACTTCAGATTTATTATATTTGAAGGAGAGACTTCAATTATGAATTCCTGGAAGTTTCAAGTTGCTCAGATTCCTGAAAGTATTTTTGAAAAAATTCCAAATTTGATTTGTTAAGAAGTTTACAAGGATTTTTTGAAAAATTCATTATCCCGTTTCTGAAGCTCAGATTGACTTCAGATTTATTATATTTGAAAAAGAGACTTCAACTATGAATTCCTAGAAATGTCAAGTTGCTCAGATTGCTGGAAGTATTTTTGGAAAAATTCCAAATTTGATTTGTTAAGAATTTTACAAGGATTTTTAAAAAAATTCATAATTCCGTTTCTGAAGCTCAGATTAACTTCAGATTTATTATATTTAAAGAAGAGACTTCAATTATGAATTCCTGGAAGTTTCAAGTTGCTCAGATTCCTGGAAGTATTTTTGGAAAAATTCCAAAGTTGATTTGTTAAGAATTTTACAAGGTTTTTTTAAAAAATTCATAATTCCGTTTCTGAGGCTCAGATTGACTTCAGATTTATTATATTGAAATAGATCCTTCAATTATGAATTCCTGGAAGTTTCAAGTTGCTCAGATTCTTGGAAGTATTTTTGAAAAAATTCTAAATTTGATTTGTCAAGAATTTTATAAGGATTTTTTAAAAGATTCATAATTCTGTTTCTGAAGCTCAGATTGACTTCAGATTTATTGTATTTGAAGAAGAGACTTCAACTATGAATTCCTGGAAATATCAAGTTGCTCATATTCCTGGAAGTATTTTTGAAAAAAATCCAAAATTGATTTATTAAGAATTTTACAAAGATTTTTTAAAAATTCATAATTCCGTTTCTGAGGCTCAGATTGACTTCAGATTTATTATATTTAAAGAAGAGACTTCAATTATAAATTACTGGAAGTTTCAAGTTGCTCAGATTCCTAAAAGTTTTTTTGAGTCAACTTTGAGGCCCAATTGCTCAAAAACTATTTGAGCTATCAAACTCAATTTTGCACAAATCTATAGAGAATTTAATGCTCTTTCCAATGGTATATAATTTGCTCAAAATTCGTCAAAGATATGGGCAATTGTTCATGACCATGTCAAGAATTTGGAAATTACCCAAAGCCAAAAATAGCCCTCTACTACTACTTGTTGATTTGTCTACAGAAAATTCAATTCCTTGTTGCAACATTGTACACAAATAACTAACAAAACATCTTTTATTCCAGGTTTATGTATGTGAAGAATGCGGACACACAACTTCCGAACCAGAAGTTCACTATTTGCACCTCAAAGAAAAGCACCCCTACAGTCCTGCTTTGTTAAAATTCTACGATAAGAGGCACTTTAAATTTACGAATTCCAACTTTGCCAACATGTTGTTGCAAGTTCGAACTTAATTTCATATAAGTAGTTCAATTAATAGAGGTTTGTTCCAACCTGTCAAAAAACTGTCACAAAAACTTTAGGTTTTGCGCAGAATCCTGACACGATAATATTACGGTTTCTTGCTGTGTTGGAACAAACCTAATTTCCGTCCAATAAAGAAGCGTATACACTCTTATGTTTGTTCTTTTTAGTTGGATCTTGTTTAAAAACATCTCTTCTGTGATAATTTATTTAAATATTTCGATTTATTTATAAATATAAGTGCACTTTTTAGTATATTTATTTATATAGGAGTTTTTTTTTGAGTTTGTCCCCACTGTGAGGACTCATCAATCAACAAATTATCGGGTTTTTTGTGCAATCAAATGGTGAATGGAAACTGGGTAATATAGTATAGGTACATACTTATAGAGTAATTTTTACACTATTTATTTATATGGGACATTTTTGTTAGACAACGTTTAATCCTTTAACATATATGTCCCAAATTTGTTCTGGTGCTTCATAGGTTAATTTCAACTATGGTGCTTCAGAAATTTTCTATTATAATTTAAGTATTGACAACGAATGCAATATTAATATTGTAATTGTAAATATATAGAATTTCCTTATTGACGAGCGTTTAGCCAGTGTGTACTTAACTTTATTTTTTCTTCTTTTTTATTAATTTATATACCTACGACTGTGTATTTATGTAATAACTCATTTTTTTTTCTCTACTACTGTATTTTAGTAAGACTATATAAGAGATTTGTATTTTGTATTTTTTTTTCCTAATGTTGTTATACAATAATAAATTTTTTATGTATTATTATTTTGGTTTTATTTACTATCCTTTGATTCAATTGAGTAGTGTTTTTTTTTCAAAGATTAAAATAATTGACTTTTAACATACATTTAAAGATAACTTATTATTATGAACATCTAAAGTTAATTAACAACATGACAAGGCACATAGATTCTCATCAAAACCAGCTTTGACTATTAATCAAGGATTTTATTAAATAATAAAAGGGGGGTCTGGTGTTTACGTTTCACTTTTATTTATATACGCTGTAGCAAATTATCAGTACTAGTTTGAAGGTTGCAGTTAGTTTGTTGTTGAAATATAAAGTTAGACTAAAAATAATGTAAGTACCTAATCTTTTCATGTATTAATTTTGTAGTAAATATAAGTTATTTGAAGCAGTTTATTTGATTTTCTATTAACGTTTGTCATGAGTTTTTCAGTTTTGGTTTAAACTTATTATAAAAGATTACTAAATTCTTGTCTTCATTATTATTGTCTTATATAATTATTCTGTTTATTCCAAAATTTGAATTTTTCTTTTTTTCTAAACAAAAACATAGAAAATTTAAACTTAAAATGAAAACATAAGGAAAATTAATGAAACATTTTTCAGCCAAGTTTTTAATTTTGAATTTTTCTCAATTTTGATTCATGAAATTTTTCCTCAAATTACGTAAAAATGTATCTGGTTCCATTCAATTTACAAACAAACATTTTTTGATTTCGACAATATGCCAATGAAATGTTAGTTTTTTATATCACAGTTTCGCAGCAATTCACTTATAAGGTCAACAACTCAACTCATTTTCAAGTCAAAGATCTTAACTCATCATTTTTGAGAAAATCTAGTAGTTTTTGACAAAAAGTTGACTAAGTTTCAGCTGTAAAGCTGAATATCTTGAAAATTCCAAAAAACAATTTTGCACGAGAATTCAATGCTCTTTCCAATAATGTATAAATATAAGCAATTTGCTCAGACATAATCGAAGGAATGAGCGTGTCAAGAATTCATAAAATTTCCAGACCCATAATTGAGATTTCCTTTTGGATTTTTCTTCTCATCGAAATTTTTAAATTCAACTAATGTTGTTTCTGACTAATTTAGACTCGCTCTATCGATTTTTGAAGTTAAAATTGAGAAAAATCTAAAAATAAAAATTTTCAATTTTTTGAGTTTTTTTTTAAGGCAATAGCTCGTTAGCCAAAAGCGGTACTGTGACAGAGATTGTAGCTCTTGATAGGCGCTTTCAGATGGTATTTAGCTGAAATCGCTAGCATTTACAGTTTTTGAGAAAATCGAGTTTAAAGTTTTGGACAAAAAGTCGACTGAGTTTTAACTTTAAAGCTGAATATCTTTAAAATCTCAAAAGCTTCAATAACTAATTTTGCACGGGCTCATAGAGAATTCAATACTCTTTTCAATGATGTATAATTATAGACAATTTGCTCAAATATAATCGAAGGAATGAACAATTATTCATGAGCGTGTCAAGAATTTAAAAAATTTTTAGACCCAAAATTGAGATTTCTTTTCGGATTTTTTTTTCTCATCGAAATTTTTGAATGTAATTAATTTAAGAGTTGTTTCTGACTAATTTGGACGCGCTTTATCGATTTCTGAAGTCAAAATTGAGAAAAATCGAAAAATAAAAATTTTCAATTTTTTAGGTTTTTTCCTAAAGTTACCCCCTTTGGATTTTAATTTACAGAATTTTTACGGGTCAGTTAAGTTAGCCCCCCCCCCCAAAGAAAATTTCTGGATGAAAATTATCCCATAATTTTGCTCTCATTTTGCTCCATTTTGCTCCACTAATTTCGATTTTTGCTCCATTACAGTGGAGAGACTATGTGGCCTATTAGGTGGGGGGGGCTGAATTAACGCTAGCCCCCCCCCAGTGAAAATTCAGAAATTTGATCATGCTCATTTTGTTCTCCGAGTTTTGCTCCGTTTTGCTCCATAATCGGCGAGTTTTGCTCCATTACCAGGAGAGACCTACAGAACTCCCAAAAATATCTCCTAGTCCCCCCCGGTGAATTTTTTTAAATTTGAACATGTTCATTTTGTTCTCCGAGTTTTGCTCCGTTTTGCTTCATTATCGGCGAGTTTTGCTCCATTAATGGCGAGTTTTGGTCTATTACCAGGAGAGACCTACAGAGCTCCCAAGAATCTCTCCCAGCCCCCTCAGTGAAAATTCTGAAATTTAATCATATTCATTTTGTTCTCCGAGTCTTGCTCTATTTTGCACCATGATCAGCTCGTTTTGCTCCATGACTCGCTCCATGACGAGCCGCTTCCGGGTGTCACGCTTTGAGCGCTCAACGCTCTCGAATTAGGCCGAAGTACTCCGGCTACAATTTTACACATTCGGACGAACAAAGTTTGGCGCTCTCAAGCTGCTCTCACTTTCCTCGCCTGTTTCCCTTGATGCACCTGTAACTGATTTTCAAACGTTCGCGTGCAAAACGCATTGAATGCGTGAAATGCTCTAGGTGCTTCGCACACTGCACATGAAAGCGACTCTAGAATGAACTACACAGCTACGAGGAATATCTCCTAGCAACATGGGTGAAAATTTTGGAGTTTTTATATGCGCATTTTGTTTTCCGAGCTTTGCTCCATTTTGCTCCATGATCGGCGAGTTTTGCTCCATTACTTGGAATGACCTCTAGGGTCCTTATTCTTGAAACAGGGGAGCAGCGTTTCCATGAGAAAGAGTGTTCCGCCTTTGTTGAAGTCCACAGCACAGATCCTGACGGACGACCTCTGAAGGGGAAGAGGAAGCCAATGCGACAGAACTCATAGCGACAGATTTTATGAACCTAGCAAGCCTACCAAAACGATCGAGATATACTTAATAGCCTGTTGACTAGAAAAGGACAACAAATAATGCGTAGGATTATACTCATAATAGTTGTATTCCTTTCAAGAGTTTGGAACACTCGAGCTACTCGCTCCGGTGTTAGTCAACATGATTTCAAAGGGAAAGATGCGGGGTGCAACAAACACTTTTCGAAAGGAATAAGCGCGTAACGCCCCGGAGCTGTTCCGGAGCTCCTCCTAGGTGTGAAAGGAATACAACTAATGTAATATGGGAACGGCCGTCAGATAAACTCGTTCTGCTCCAAAGTGAACAAGGAACGGTTTGGAACAGAAAGAAAGAGCAAGAAAATTGGATAAAGGAAGGCCAACAACCCTCAACTAACAGGATGGCTTTTCGCCATAAAGCCTTACTTGCGCAAAATTCTCTCTTTTTTGACATTGCTTCGACAATTTGACGTTTGATACACGCATAAAACGTCAAATTGTCGAAACAATATCAAAAGAAGAGCGAATTTCGCGCAAGTGAGAATGAGGCATAAGGCGTACGTTCGCTTTTCGACTAGTCGTGACGTCACTGAAGTCTTGAGGTCTACATTGACGTCAAAATGACACAAATGGTGGGGAGTTTTCGCGTGAACATGGTAGACACTTTCAGCTAGATAAGCCATTCTATTAAGATTTAGGGTTCTTGAAGGAAGGCCAAGTTTTTGAATTCACCAATTGCTTATGCGCATTTCTCTTGATGAGTAACCTATCCTTGTTTTGCTGCTGTCAAATGACAAGGACAGCATTACATCGGTGAAAATGCGCATATGTCATTGTGGATTTCAAAAGCTTGCCAAGCCAGTAAATCAGTAAACTGAATTTTGATTTTGGAACGATTTGCAGCAAATACCATCGTCACCAAAAGTAACTGGGTACATTACTGACAGTTAAAAAAAGATCACCGCCATAAATAGCTATTTCGGAAAAATAAAAGGCTGTCCCTATAATTTACGACGTCTGTCAAATTTGTTCACTTGAAAATAGGCGCCATCTTTGTCTCATCGATTTGCACTGTCATGTCAATATAAAATCATTCGGAACACATTTCACTGCTCCGAACATGGGCGCTCGAGCAAACGAGCTTGATTATCGGTAATTATTTATGACATAAATAACTATTTTTGCAAGCGATTCCCATTTGTAAATTCAGTGCGTACTTAGACTATTTCTGTCTTTTTCTAGAAGCACGTGAAAAAAAAAGGATCGAAATTAGTTTTAACTAACAGGGCTTCTTGCGGGCTCTGTTTGTCTATTTGTACCAAAGTTACACCAGTCTGCACCAGGAACACCAAAAAGTCAGTTTGTCTCTGTCAGACCCATACAAAAAAAAATATAGGAATAAACCTTGGATAAACAAACACGTTTGGTGTAGAAAGTGTCGGTTGGTGCGAATAAACAAACAAAGCTAGTGAAACCAGGGACCACCGTTCTCTTCATAGCCATTATACTCGATGCGCTTTGCACTCAAATGCTTGAAAATCAGTTAGGTACAGGTGCATCAGGAAAAAGAGGCGAGGAAAATGAGAGCAGCTTCAGAGCGCCTGATTGCTCAAAGCGTGGCACCCGAAAGCAGCTCAGGCTCAGGTAATGGAGCAGAACTCGCCTATCATGGAGCAAAACGGAGCGAAACACGGAGAACAGAATGAATATGATCAAACAAAATTTTAACTGGTGTAAGGGGGCTAGAAGAGATTCTTAGGAGCTCGTAGGTCATTCCAGGTAATGGAGCAAAACTTCCAAATTTACACACGTGTTGCAAGGAGAGATTCCTGGGAGCTGTCTAGTTCATTCCGCTTTCGGGTACAGTGTGCGAAGCACGAGCATTACACGTCCATTATACTCAATGCGCTTTGCACTCGAACGCTTGAAAATCAGTTACAGAGGTGCTTCAGGGGAAACAGGCGAGGAAAGTGAAAGCAGCTTGAAAAACTATGTTCGCTCGAATGTGTAAAATTGGAGGCGGAGTATTTCGGACTAACTCGAAGTTTCAAGTCAAAATTTTCACTGGGGGGGCAAGAAGAGATTCTTTGGAGCTCTCTAGGTCATTCCTGGTAATGGAGCAAAACTCGCCGATAATGGAGCAAAACGGAGCAAAACTCGGAGAACAAAATAAGCATGTTCAAATTTAAAAAATTTCACCGGGGGGGGGCTAGGAGAGATTTTTGGGAGCGCTGTAAGTCTCTCCTGGTAATAGAGCAAAACTCGCCGACAATGGAGCAAAACGGAGCAAAAGTCGGAGAACACAATGAACATATTCAAATTTAAAAAATTTCACCGGGGGGGGCTAGGAGAGATTTTTGGGAGCTGGAGCTCTGTAGGTCTCTCCTGGTAATGGAGCAAAACTCGCCGATTATGGAGCAAAATGTAGCAAAACTCGGAGAACAAAATGAGCATGATCAAATTTCTGAATTTTCACTGGGGGGGGGCTAGCGTTAATTCAGCCCCCCCCCCACCTAATAGGCCACATAGTCTCT